TTGTCAGTGTTGTATTCATGTCAACTCTCTTCTTACAGAAAGTGACTAGTGAAAAACAATGCCAGGTTTTGTGTCAACTGTAGCAATATTTATCATGTACAAATAATTTGATGCTTGTGACACATTTTCATTGCTTATTGAAGAAAAAAATTATGGGAGCCCTGTTGCTCTCCTCTCTGAGATGCATCCAAAGCTTAGGGGGAGACAATGACAGACCTTCAGCAAAGTCATTTGTTGTACCCTGGAGGCTGGAGCTGTCCCCCTTTGTGGGTGTCCAAAGATCTTCCTAATCTCTAATGCTTAGATAGCCTATGCCTGGCAGATGCGTGTAATTCCACTTTTGAAACCATGGTCATTCCATGTCAAATCAACACACTACAAAGCATGACTCTCTGATTTTGATTAAATTTAAACCAATGCTCTGTACTATTGAGAAAGTGAGGTATCAGTCAATTTTGTTTTCAGTCAATTAGATCTTAAGGTTTGTGAGCCACCAATTAGACGATTTTTCACAAACCCTTAAGATCTAATTCACTAAACACGAAAATGTTGGATAGCTCACTTTCTCAATAGTACAGAGCATTGCTTTAAATGTCATCAAAGTCGGAGAGTCGTGTTTTTTAGTGTGTTGATTTGACTTGGAAAAAAAGGTTTTGCAGTTGAGTGTTATTTGAATCTTTATGATCATTCACATTTGCTTAAGACTGAACCATGTACAAAGTTCCAACAGTAGCAGGCTTCTCTCAGAGAATAAAATGCCATGCCATTACAAGACCAAGTCATTCTTCGGGCATGCATTCCTAGTGTGTGTATTCACAAATTAGAGAAATCAAATGTGTAATAGATAAGCTTGAAGACTTATGTTCCAGATAAAACTATCTTCATGTGGTATACAAACAATTTGAAAACGAAGTAAAACATTAGTGAATCTCACATGAAACAAGAAGCACGATTTTGAAGTTACTAACTGAATTTCATTGGCTTCAGTTGCCCTTACATATTGGTGAGGACAAGTTCACATTTTTAATGAGTGCTAAAGATATTGAAATTTTTTGGCGCACGTCAGGAGGACCTCCTGTATGTCTGGTCCTCTTATATCCGGCCAGTTCTTGAGTACGCCTGCGCTTCCTGGAACAGCTCCCTGCTCAGCCGGGCCGTATTTACCATCAAACAGGTGCAGAAGCGTGCCCTGCGCTTAATCCTTGGGCATAAATATGAAACTTACGAAAAGGCCTTGTCGATCCTGGGCATCCCATCCTTGCAAAAAAGACGACTGGATCTTACATCTAAGTATGCCCATGCCCTCGTAAAAAAAATCGATCGCGATGGCATCCTACCGACAATGCCCCCCATGAACCTAAGAAATATCTCATCTCTCTTGCAAAAGCATAAGTGCCGCAAGCACAGAATCTACCAGTCAGCAATTCCCTTCATGACCTGCTTGATAAACCAGAAAACTACCTGAGAAGACCGCTATTGCTATTTTTTTTATTTATTGAAATCTTCAATCAAACGTAATTTAATTACTTTATATTGAGCTAAAATATATGATTTTGCCATATACTTTGCACATAATACGTTTTCGACTCCAACACTGGTCACTGACCACTGTCTTACGGCGAGATTGAGGACTCGATTACGCTTCTATTGCTTGAAGCGACATCTATTGCTAGTGTTAGAAGTACTACTTTGCTGAGCGTCAACAGGATCCATTGAAAAGTATGGAGCCCATGTTAACGGGGGTTAAAGTAATTCCGGAAACACTGTAATTGCATTAAGGATGATCCCAGTGTTCTCCCTATTGTCATCATATCTCAGCTTGGAAGAATGCAAAATTGCTGGCCATATGAAGCATCCGGCTTTTGAATCCTGCCGAGACCTAAACAAAATGTTTTGTCAATTTTCAGATCGGAGTGGCTCCATTGCACGACATTCAGGAAGCACAACATTGTCAATCCCAAGCATTTCAGTGGGAACCATTCATCGTCATCCTTGGTGCTTCTCAAGGCTATGTTGCTTTCGAACAATTGAATGAATCTGAGTGAGTTTATGGAGAGAGCTGTTGACGTGGTGGATAGATGGGTTGACGTAGATCTGCAAATCCCGCTGAATCTGTAGACCAATTTGGCTGTAGAGAGTGGCCAACATGCCCTTGCTTCACAGCACGACTTAATTTAAATTTTGTGGTGATACTTTAACCAACACCTGGGAGTGGGAGAGGAAGTTCTGGCGTCATTCATTGCACAACTGATGCAAATCTTCATCGGAGTTACACGCTTGATTATTCCATCACTAAAAGTATATAATATCATTACCGTGTTTGAGCCTGTGATTCTTTCACTCCACTAATCTACTCACTGGTATGCCTCTCCTTTCCCCTTTACATAGAGATCATTTGCTTGGAATGTTCACCGTAACAGAGTTCTGTCGAAATTCAACATGAAAAGGTCATGTAACGCAATACATATGTTGAATTGGAGATTTTTCTCTCAAAATAAGCAAGGGGCCAAGGAATCCATAGCCGAAAACCGGACCCCCTTCTGTCCCCTCTTCTCCACCTTCGCTTGTTTCCTCTTCCGAACGTTAGAAACTGATGCCGGGCTGACCATCAAAATCCGCGCTGTGTCGTTTATTGTCATCCCCTCTTTTTGCATATTCAGGATGACCTGCTGTTCTTGAAGGGTCAAACATTTTCCCTACTCCGACGCGTTGACATGATGTCGAAGGGAGTCAAGTGGGCTCAACCATAGGGCCATTGTTACCCCAAATATGGGAAGTAATACCTACTACAGTGACATCTCTCTAAAAAAAATTGTGGATGTACTATAAAAGAACTGATATTTACAAGGTATATGTATATTTATATTCACACATTCAGGCATTAATCGTTCCATTGCTAAATTTTACTTGGGACTAGGTCTCATGGTGAAAGCATGAGGTTCATCAGTGGTGCACCTCATGCTTTCACCATTTCTCCAGTAGTAAGAATAAATGCTTTGTTCAAGCTGAAGCCAGGTTCATTCATGTGGATTTTAAAATATTACTTTGGATTTACATCAGACACTTTCTTTATGAAGTTTCATCATACAACTTGCAAGAAGTTGGAACAGCAATTACTTTGTTCAAAAGAAGTACTCAGTAAGGAAAATGTAAAGAAATGAGAGAATATTCATCATTCTCTATACGTACTTAGCATTTGGCATACTTCAGGTGTAATTTCAATATAGGTTATTGACAAGTCATAAGGGGGCCAATATATCATATTCACTTAATACAGTGGTATTCAATGTGCAACCCACTAAGATTAACTGTTGACTTTTTATAATTTAATGGCTTTATTGGCAATGATGAATATTCAATGATGAGCACATTTAGTAATTACACATTTGAACATTTTCTCTGTAAAGTAGCAAGTTTAGTCATTGCTTAGATATTCAGATATTTATAATAGATGCTTAATTTAAATGCTTGTGTAGTTAGTAGTTTTGCACTTGTTGAACTATCCCCAAATTCAGAGCACCCATGTAATGCAGAGAAAAATAATTTCCCTGAAGTAAATGAAGTTAAGAAGAAAAAGAGCATTTATCAAAAATTCAACTTGTAACAAAGCAGCACTGATGCATTTACATGAGCTAATCCAAAGTGGGGGCAGTTTTCATGACTATGAGGGATGGAAGTGCATGTGGATGTGGGAGAAATAATCAGTTTTCGATTGTCGCTCATTCCTTAAAAGTTACTTCCTGGTTCAGAGTGGCTTGACCAAATGGTCGATGACCATATGAAGGCCATGTAGAAATGTTGAATCTTTTTCAATCCAGCCCACTCCAGGTAGACTAACATTATTAGTGCAGCCTACTCAAGGTAGACCAAAATGTCTGCAAGGCCCTCACCTCAAAAAGTTTGGGGGCTACTGACTTAATATCAGCAAATCTCAATAGCTAATAACTATTTAAAGTAATAACTGAGTAAATATTGTTGCATCTCTAGTTGAGATACATGAATCAGCATGATGCAGTGTTTCACCTCCAATTATGTAGTGTCAGGTGTTAACGATCTCTTAAGCTTCAAAAGTTAATGGTGTAGCAAAGCCAATGCAAAATAAAATGCAAACATCACCACTTAGGATCTGCACTGAAGGATCCTATTCATGGATACTCCACCATATTCAGAGGTTTACATCGATAATGGAGTCATTGAGCTGAAGCATTTTCATTACTTACTTCTTTGGTCCATGTAAGGTTGTGATGGCAACATCCACTCTGAACTTGAGGCTCTCTTTCACTAATAATGTAAATGGCTTGGGAGACTGTTGGCCATTTTTTTTGGAAATGGGAATGATCTGAGAGTGGACTTGGACACAAATGAGTCAAAGATATGAACAGGTGACACCATTGTAGATGAAGGAATGAAGTAAAAACGGGTCATTGATGTAAATGAGGTGGAGTTTCTGCAATTTCTAACAGTACATTACTTCATCTGCAATATGATGCCATATAATTAAGCTAAACTTTTCCAAGGACTTGTTAGAGTTATCATAAGTTAAACATTGGTTTCTGAACTCCATATTGGGTTCATTTTTTCAGATGAGGTGAGACTAGACTGAAATGGCTTTTCTATATTTAACTGAATACACACTGAAAACTAATTTTAAAAAAAACTATTCCAAACATTAAATATAGGCAATCTAGCACTTGGAACTAATAAGTGGCACTTGGAACTATAAATCCACAAGAAAATACAGGTGAAACTTAGGTCATTAATGGGAAATCTGTTCATATTTGGTGTGTCCTATCAATGCGTAATGTGCTGCATTACATTCATGCAATGGAAGTACTCCATGGTAAACTTAATGAAAAAATTAAGAATTGACTTAAAGACCAGTGTATATTCTGGTGTCTGTGAGTAGTCTAAATTGTTAATGCTGCCAACATTTCTGGATTAAATCAGCAAACACTGATGATATGAATATGATTTGGTCATAGAGAAATGAAACTCGTGTAGGCAGGGGCTCACGGACAGATGTATTCCTTGAATTCCTTAGGTTTAGATTATACATCTATCTGCGATCAAGATACATGTATTTTCGACGTCTAGATCATACGGGCAAGAAGCTCGTTGATCTTGTCTTCACGGTTTCCAAAATCCCCACCTTCCACAAAGTGAGTAGTCTTCTTTCTCCATCCTCCACTTGGGGTGTTCAGCTGGAATAAGGAAACAAGGAAACATGTACAAACAAGGACAATGCAGTTGAGCCAACATTTTGGCTTCCCTTTCCTTCCATTCATGCCTGATTCAGATTCAGCACCATAGGTTGTAACTTTTGACTCAATCAACTGACATTTACAAATGGTCATTACAATTACAATTAACAATTTACAAACTCATTACATACATAAAACATTGCCAGTTTCCTCAATATTTCAGAAATATCAGTTACTTAGTTTCAGAGAAATCTCCCTTGGAGATATGATCCTTTTCTTTGTTAGTCACCCTAAACATATATGATAGAGGGCTAAGCATGTTCGAGTCATGCCATCAGTAACTTCAATAGTTTCAAGAGACCAACCTACGGATGACTTAAAGTGCAATTACTTTCCAAGTTGTAGTAGTTCAACACACAGGTGTATCTACAGTACTACTATTGTACTGAAATATAAAAGCTCATATGAGGGTGGTGTTTTAGATGGTTCTTTGTTTACTTTTCACTTGCCAGACAGGTTGAGTCCAGGCTGATTTCGTTTCACTTGCCTAACTACAATTTGGATTCACCACTGGCTATTGGAAATTTCACAGGCCTATTAATAGAGCATAAGGGTATCCCAGAACTGGAAAAAATGTTGGTTCTGTACAAATTTCTTTTGCAATTCTATCTCTCTCTCATATCCATCCCCAAAGGGTGCAGGCAGTAAATTTTTTTAAAGGTGAAATGAGGCTTGAAGGGAAGATGAAGGGAGAAAGAACAGGTCACCAACCTTGAAGGGCCAGAGGAACTTGGAGACATACTTGAAGTTCTGTCCAACTGTGAAGATCTCATGAACTATGTCCTCCATGCAGATGATGTTACGCTTCTCTATTAAAGACAAAATACTGGCATTGAAAGACGGACTTCCAATAACAGCAACTTGTTTTAATGGGTCTTACACCAGAGCTCCTTTTTCATTACCTCCACACCTCCTGTTTCACTATGAGGGGCTACTAAAATTCCTGCAAATATTAGAATTAATTTTCAGGTCCGTTAACCCGTTAAAGCATTACATAGCTGATATGCTACATACCAAATAAACATTTTTAGAAAGCATAGGTAATGAGCTCCTGAGGTAAACTGGTTCTTAGCAGACGTACAACAGTGTGTTGTTATACATAGTACCTATGTAATTGCTAGGTGCTATACAATCCTGGTGGCAAGCTAATTAAAAACACATAAATTTGTTGTGTGACAGATTGATGTTTTTTGTACAATAATCTTGAACTTTTACACTTGTCCAGTGTCCAGGCTTATCCATATTCTTACATTTTCTTTGGCATTGAGATGTGTATGGATGGATGTTGATTGAGCTCTCTAGCATCCATGCAGTGTAGGATAGAAAGCTGAAAATGCCATTTGTAGCAAATAAGCAACAATAACATTTTCGTTCTTACAGCTTACAAATTTGAGGGAAAAATGTTAATCATCATCTCTTTAGTGACCTGAATTCCACAAGTTTTGCGAGCATCACAAGATGAACCACAAGATGAGATCAACTGAAGGTTATGGTGCCCCAAGAAAATCATGCACATCTCAAGGGATTCTTCTCCCAGGAATATAACACTCACTCAGTCGTTTCTCGATGATTTCATTGGAAGTGATGGGAGTACGTCGGTGATACAGCTTGCAGTAACCTCGTTTGTAGAGAAGGTTTCGCACTGTACTCAGACTTGGGTAGCCCCAACAAATGTTCGGCTCACAGATCCGAAGCATGTTGATGGATGCCTGAAATCAATCATCAGGAAAACAATTACCCTTCATGCCACAACACAAGATTTCCCCCAATATCACCAGGATCAAGTTAGACAGCATGTGAACTCAATCCTATAAATGAATGATATGGTATCATAACTGGTCTTGAAGTTTTGCTTTTAAGAGGTTGCTAGTTTCTGGTTCATTGAACCAGGAACTATTGGCAAAGGGAGGAGGTAACAGTCCAACTGAAAGGCAATTGCTTCTGAGACTGAACAATAGCTTTGAGAAACACTAACTATTCCTGAGCATTTAAAAAAAACAAACAAGACTCATCACAATTAATGGGAAAACAAAAGGGAAGTGATCTTCGATATGGATAAATCTTCATATGTATAATCATGAAACCTTTCAAAAGAGCATGTATTTGCTTCAGGCGATGGAAAACGATTTCACAACCAGGATTTCTCTTTGACACTTTGGAAAGATGCCAACCCAGTCACAGGCAAATGGCATCCATGGAAGTGTCACAATGGACTCCTGTGTAAGGTTCATACCCCTGCATATTTGGTGAAACCTTAGCCCCTTAAACAAGAGCCTCACTGCTAAAATTGTCCACTATGCCAACACATACCCTGACTGATATATATCTAACTTATCCAACATTGACACTATCAGATATGAAGAAGTATCACGATGAACTTGAACAGGCTGCTGTCTGCTTCTTTGAAGATGCATGAATCTAAGCAAAAGAAATTTATTCCATGCGACTGATCAAGAGAACAAAGTCCAAGTATTCCAATTCCAATATTAAAAGTAAATCCTTTTTTTTTTGCCATTCAGAGGTGCAGTTTTATTCTCCAGGAAAAAAGAAATATGGTCACTCGGGCAGGTTCTTGATAATCCAGACAAATCACCAGTCCCCTTTTGTTTTGATTAGCAGCAGTTGACTGTATGTGGACAAAAAAGGGCCAGTATTTATTGGTAACATCTTTGGCTGGCTATAAATAATGTTTCATGTACATATTAAAATCAATGTCTGCAGTCTAAATTGAGACTTAGAAAGAGATAATAGTTTCTTCATGCAAGGTTCTTAAGATACAGTATAGCATCTTCACTCTTCCTCAATAACAGAAGCGACCGAACTTCCTCACCTCATGAGCCGCATAACAAAACCCTAATATGATAGCAAGCCACAAGACACAAATACCACTTAACACAATCGTTCTTTAGCACTTTTAAGATCTTAATAGCATTAAGACCTATCATTTAGTACAACAAAGGTTTTTTTAAATAAAAACTCCCAACTTCATAGCTCTTAGAAATTTACTATGGTACCTCACTCATTTGATCCTATGAGTACGAAACTCTTTGCATACTCTCTTGGAAGTGACATCCAATCGTGAAGCATATTTGTTTAAATCTTTCATTTTTTCTTAGACATCTCACCCATAATACAAAAACCGCTTGCAGTTCCATGTGTTTTTTATTATTATTTTGTCCATAAAAAGTCCTGTAATTGTTTGGAAACACATATTGCAAAGATCAAGTCAAAAACGATAAAAACATGCTTGCATGCACTCCTCAAAATAAAACCTAGCAATATTTTAATTCTCATTCGAGAGCCTCTCCTTCACATGGTGAAGCTGACCGGTGTACCACTCAATCAAGACAAAGCAGCTACACTCCTACATGGTGCTCCCAAATGAACATGCCTCATATAAACAGGCCTTCAGAGTGAGCCACAAAAGATATGCATGGTAGTACAGATTGCTTAACCCTTTGAGCCACGAATTTACAATTTCTGATGTCATTATTTTTCTCTCATAGAACCTGTCAATTCCAACAAAGTGATTTCAAAGTTTCGAATTATACCCCTAGACCTGTGGTCAGCCATTACAAGTGGTTTCGCCTTGAAATCACCGTTTCTAGGGCAGGGAGAAAATAAAGTAAAGGTGGTTACACGGTGTAACCACCTCGCCTCAAAAGGTTAAGGAACAGGAAAAAGCTAGGAACTAAGTTAACATAGTGAAAGCTCAATTCCTTAAAATGAGTGACATCCTTTGTCTTCTATATTTGTCATATATATAACAGGATATGCCCTGCTTCTATGTTGCCTATGCCCCCCCCCATTTTAGAATCGATGAGAAGTCACTGTTCCTTACCTATCACTTCACTACAAGCCACGCGTGGCTTGAATGTCGCATACTAGCCAACCTTGCTCTACAGGATGCAGACCATATGAGAACTGCTTTAGATTTAAATTTTGAAATGTATCAATGTGAAGATGAATTGAAATGCATCAGTTCCTTAGACCTTCCCATGATCTATCCATCTCCTAGAGCTTGCATTCCAACTTTTCTTGTACTCAAACAGTGAAATGCTACAACCACTACCATGCAATAAATATTTTTCATGAGTCTCTTTAGCTTAGGGGGGGGGGGGAAAGGATAACATTTACACAAGTGCCTCAAAACTCATTTTGAAAATATTACTGCCATGAGCTACCTGGTTTTTTTATTATGGCAAATTAAATGCATGACATACTTGACATCTGTTTAGTCTTTGCAAGGCACATTCCATAAATAAGTTTTTAAATAAGGAAATCTGACATTTCAAAAACCCAGAGAATGAGTGTACATGACATTCTTTTCCATTAACCATGAAAACATCCCAATACCATCCCCTCCTATTCCCTTAACTGTTCAAATCCCCTGTATCATCTAATACAGTGAACTTAATGATAGCTCAATACTGGGATTAGCTCAGAATATTTTCATATGGATTTCTACATCACATCAAGTTCAAAATCCCAACCACTTCATTTCATACAACCTTCATATGGAATAAGGAATTCACAATAATAGAAAAGCTATAAATGGATAGTGGAAATGTCACTGTTTGTATCTTCCCATTCCACATCAGGGCATGAGACAAGGCTCTCAATGTGAAAGCAATAGAATTAACTCACCTTGTTTAGCTTCACAAAGACTCCATTGTTGATCTGCCTCAAACGAAGAAGTTTCATGACCTTCCTGACACGGGGATGTAGACCGTTCACACTGTTGAAATGATAAAAAAAAAACTCATTTAGAAAAGGAACACTCTTGAAATATTATCTTTGATTTGGAAAAGTTAAATAACAGACTGACCCTCTGATTCGAATGACAAAGGCAAGTTTAGGTTCATCTGGAACATAAAAGTTTCCACATTTCTTTGCCATACGCTTGAGACGAATGAGGTCCCTCTCCTTGGCACGATATTCAGCCACATACTTCTCGGCCCTCTTGAAATACTCCCTCTTTCGGGATGCTCGCTTCTTATTTGCCTGGAAGCAGAAACCAAATGTATCCTCATCTTCAACTAAGGCCCAATGCATACAATCACAAAAAACATTCCTTCCTGCAACTTCTATATGTACCTACACACAGCCAAAATCAGCAAAATAAATGAAGCAGATGTAACATGTCACAAATTTTCAGACATGTCATTATATATGACAGTCAATTATTGACTATTCTCAAAGTCTGCTTCCAAGTCAATAGTTCAGTACATACATGCTACTATTTATATATGAAACAATTTGGCTCTACACATTACAAAAACTTTATTTTACTTCAATTTTACAATGGTTAAAACTGAATGAGTCAATGACACAAACCTCCAAGCAGGAGCCACAGGTCTAAATTCTAGCAGTAGCATACATGGAACCCATGACCTCATACACAATGCCTTCTATTCCTATGCTCATGCCATGAATCCCTACTATGGAAAGATGTTGGCAGAGAGCTTACACAAAGAGCCTCTATCTGCTTGTCATCCTCTTACATTACTATAAATAAATACCTGAGGTTATTTATGTCTAAATACTTACTAGAAATTGATATTCAGCTGTACTGACTGAATCACAGTAGGGCAAAACGTTTCTGCATTCCCTGTACACAAACTATGCAATAAAATACAGCCAAGAAAAAACAGTTTACCTGGATTTGGAACTTGATGGATTTTGCTCGATCCTCAGCTGCCTTTTTCCTCCTCTTCAGGAGGGTTTCAGGAACAGCTGGAAGCTTCTTCCCAGGCTGACTCCTACAAGGAAAAGAAGTTTGAAGATAATAAGCTTGTTCTCTAAGTTGTGGCTGAGTAAGCTTTCTGAAGTGGAAAGAATGAGGAAGGTTAGGCCTAAGTCATAAAAGATGTGTATTCCAGAGTGAAAGCTTTCATCATAATCCTAGTGCCATGCGCATCTTTTTCAGCAACTTCAACCAATTACGTACCTATTAAGATCCAGGATTAGACTAAATCCATTAAAATATGTATAGCTAGGGAAGAGGCCCTAGTTGTGCATAGAGAAAAGAGCCCTTAATGGGTGATTTCATAAGTTTATTTCAATTTACCCATGTTCCAGCACAAGACATCTTAAAGTAATTAAGTTGTATGTCATCCACTTCCTAACCTGACACAAGACCTTTTAAACAACCATGATATACTATAATGATGAATGTCTAGAGATTTTGTGCTGATGTGGTGAAAAAGATTGCTCAAAGTCTTCCCACAAGGCAAACAAAGCAGCTTCCTCCACCTTGCAAGACATGTCTGTGTTTGGTGGGCTGAAGGAAACTATCATGTTAGTAGTAAATGTTGGAGATCATTATTCCCAGTTCAGCCTTGAAGTCAGGGCTGAGCCAGCTTGGCCAATAGACACTGCCATAAAGAAAAGCATTGATTCCAGACAGCCCTATAGCAAATGCATTTCCTGATCCTTTCTGTATAACAAGTAAAAACTTATAAACCCTTTGAGGCCTCTGAATAAGGTGCTGCAGTTTCAATCAATACAGGGTTAACGTTATCAGTGGATTTGCAAATCATGGTTATTCTGTGTGTATCCCCCCCATACTGCTTCCCTACTCCCGAAAGTGGGAGTATTTCAAGCATTTACAGAAGTGGAAAGAGAGCTTTCGCTTCAAAAGTACCTCTTCTGGTCTACGTGCGATGATTCAATATGCCTAGCCTAAGTCTACGAGTCAGATACCAAAGTTATTGTCAAATTACATAAGGTACTTGTTTCCACACTTATATTTATTTTTGCGACCATTACTTGGTCAAGTTGAGAACTGAATGCCTTAAGTGAACGAACGCCTGTCGTTACGCCAACCCTAGCTACGCCTGTGATGCAGGTGGAGCAAGAGTTTAAAACCACTAATAAGATGCAGTTTTGTCATGGGGTTTAAGAAGAGGTCAAACATGTGCCACGCGCCTACTGTTATTCGAACCTCAACACGGCCGAAGTTAGGCCTAAGTTTTCGAGTTGGTGAGTTGAGCCATGGCGTCCAATATCGATTTAAAATGAGTCGAAGATAACTCAGTAACCCCAGTGAATAAGAAAACGAAATGGAAGCGATTATCCAGGAGAAATGAAAAAAAAGAGAGACTCACAAGTCCTCCTTCTTAGCCGTGTCGGCCATGTTGGATGCCGGAAAGAGAGTGACAGTGCTGTTCAACCAGGACGTTCTCTCCCCACTGAGCTCAGTGTCTCTCTCCCATACTACAGATAGAAAATTATCTCACTTCAATTCAATTTATTACTCATAAAGGAAGTTCTTGTTTAGAATTAGTGAAAGTATCTCTTTCGAACTTAGGTCATACTTTCTTCTTTTCCTGTAATCTTGGCACTATGTTTAAAATCTTTCAAAATGGTTACATCACTGGCGATTTTTTACATGGACTGTAGCGTCCTACACGGGCCGATTTTCCAATACCCGACCTTGAATCGAGCCGATTCAAGTCATGGCCCGCACCCGACCCGAAACCGGAATTCCATCCTAAATTTCTCAGCCCGACTCGACCCGACCAAAGCAAAAAATTAAACTTTTAAAGTTATGCTTTCCTGTGTATCATTAGAAGTTGGTTTGCAAAAATAGGAGGTTGTCCATAGTCGACTGACAGGAGAACATTTCTTGGAGGGGACATTTCTGTCTAGTGTTGCTCTAACTGCCCCTGTGCTTGTCCCAAATTCCTCCTTTATTTGTATTCATGGTCACACTATTTAGGCATTTCCTTCTCTCCGATTGCATGCATAATACTGTCTGACCCAACCCGATCCGAAGGATCTTGATTCCCCTTAGACGGCCCGCGGGTCTAGTCGGGTCGGGGCGATCGGGCCGGGTCACATCCCGTGCTGGGCTCTAATGGATTGGCTGCTCCTCTCCGCGGCTGGTTAACGCGTTAAACCAGTAGTGTACTACCACGAACACTGGTCTCTTTTCTCCAGGCTGTGACCGATTTCACAATACCTCATACCCTTTATCTTCATCAAGGTTAATAATACCTACAATAGGGGTCGGGAACCTTTTTGGCCATGTGAGCAGTGGCGTAGCGTGGTTCGCATGGGCCCTGGTGCAAGGAATGAAACTGGGCCCGCTGTCCAATTTCTTACTATTGAATTATATGGGAGTCATATTTTTTTAAATAGATTTTTTTCCGGCAGCATATAAATCGTCATTTGTAGCTGAAGTCGTGGAAGGCAGTGGCAGATACAGAAATCTTTCATGGGGGGGGCCTGTTTCCTAGTTCCCAGCCCAGTCCACCCTCCACCCTCATCTACCACCGCCCTCTGACTTATCGCCTTATTCCTTTTTCGTCTGGGGTAAAAACCCTGAAACCTATTCCTAATAAACATTAGTTGATGCGCTTTCTACATTAAAAAAAATAGACTGCGAACTTGATCAGAGGAAGGGCAGTCCCCCCCCCCCCCCTTCCCCCTTACCCCTAGCCCTGCTACTTAGCGCAAATACTTAAGGTGATCAGTTTCCTTCGAGGGCCCCAAGGAAAATTGGGACCTAGAGCAACCTAAAGCATTTACCCCCCCCCCCCCTCCCCTAATTCGACCCTGGGTGAATGGTATTGGATGTGTCCACCACTTCATTTTACCACACGAAGAAGTTGCGAGATGTCTCGGTGCAGCAGTGTCGCGTTGAATTCCTTTGCTCCCTTTTGACCTTCCTTTTCGGCTGGTGGCTCTCATCTCGTCCCGATGCCAAGGGTCTTCCAGCTAACGCTTCCCCCCACTTCGTGGCTCGGTGTCTGCTCCCGTCTGGGCCCCTCTGGCCCGTGGGCCCCGGTGCAGTCGCACCGCCTGCACATTCAGTAGCCACGCCACTTCATGTGAGCCATATTAAGATTGAGCTAAGTGCTTGTGAGCGAAAGATTTTCCGAATAACAAAATGTTTCCTGAAGTTGGTAACTGATATATGCATTTTTTGGTACATGAGAAAAATGAGGAACAACCATGATTTTCAGCCACGACTCAATGAGCCAAACTTTTCGGCTCGTGAGCCAATTTTGGCTCATGAGTCATAGGTTCCCGACCCCTGAACTGTTTCCGGATTGATTTCGTACTCCCCAGCCCCCCCCCCACAGTGGATAACGGAGGCAGGGCCGTTTCTAGGCATATTGGCGCCCAGGACAAGG